GTAGGTGCTATTAGAATCCCTGTTTCATAATTGAGGAAGCTGAGGCAGGCAGAAGTAAAGTTATTTGCCCAGAGTCACCCAGCTAATAAGTGTCTGAGGCTGGATTTAAACTCAGGTCTTCTTGACTCCAGACCCAGTACTCTACACACTTTGCCACCTAGCTGCTTCAATTAGATGGTAAACTCCTTGAGGGCAGGGACTGTCTTTTGCCTCTTTTTTGTATCCCCACTACTTAGCACAGTGCCTGGCACATAGTAGGTGCTTTAAAAATGTTTAATGAATTGAATTGACAATACTAGACAATAAAGAGTCATTGTAAGTTACAGAATAAGGGAATGATACAGTGAAAACACAATGTGAGGAACAAAGGGTCTCAGATTTACAGCTACAAGGAATCTGAGAGGTTATCTAGACCAACTCCTTCATTGTGAAGATAATTAATCTGACGCTATGTGAGAGGATGAAACAGTATAGTCTAATAATAGAAAAATATGTAAACATAGTAAATATGTAAACATAAAAATAGTAAATATGACCATTGGTAGAAAGAGTTAGTGATAGAAGTATAGAAATATTTCTCATTCTACATTATTTTAATTACTATTGCAATCATATTAAATAGGCTTTCTGATATGCTAATGAGGCATGTCTTTGAGAATCAAGGAAAACTAAATTTGGAAATTAGGGTTGTATAGAGCACAAATACAGTTGTTTTTTTCATCTTTGGCTGGAATTCACTCCTGTGCCTCTCTGTAGAGGGTGACACCAAAGATTCATTTTAATTGTTTGATAATAAATTACTCGGATGCACCTTTTGCCATATGTACCTATTGATTAAACTTAATTCAAATGCCCTCCCTGGCTACCGGGACTTGAGCTATCAGGGCTCATTGAAAATAATTCACCTGACGATTTTAAGATTAATGACTGAGCTCGGTTCTTTCTTTTGAGATCGGTTAGCACATTTAACCAATGGCTGTCCATCCCCATTCAATAGGATAACCTTGGAAGTCTGTAATGGAGGACACTGTCAGCTGTCAGCCTCCTTAAATGACTTAATCCATAACCCCCAAACAGTGAGAGAGGTTGCCTTTTCCTTCTCATTCACATCTTCACCTCTCTGTTGAGTTACAGTGACTTTAAAAGCTAACATTTTGAGATCTTCTATTCTATTCCTTGAATCTTCTTCTGAATCAAGTCATGTTCAAAATAAGAATGACTCTATGGGTATCAATCTTACTGAAAATTGTTATTTGGGGGAAGGTTGAATTTAAGATTCCAGCCTCCCTTTCTTCCTCCTTTTTTGTGGTATCCCCTATCATAGAGTACCTTACCTCCATCACAAGAGTTTGAGGGCCTCTAGATTTCTCTCCATACCTCCTATTAAAGAATGCTGATAGGAAAAGATCTGACCATTCCATTCACAGTAATCTATAGATGACTGATAAAGATGAAAGTGTTATCATGGTTTGCATTTTCAAAGTCAAAGTCACAAACCAAAGACATTATGCTGTAATGGTGGAATTTCAGGCATTACCCCTCACAGGGGGAGGCGAAAAAGAAATGAGGGGGTAGGGATAGGATTATATTCTTGGCCTCGCTGAAATAATTTCTTGTAGATCCCAGCCTACCCTCTTCTTAAGCGGACTCTATATTGTATTGTACTTGAAGGTAAAGGACCTTGAGTCTAGTCACTTCCTGCTGGCATGTTTCCATGAAGCCTAATTTCCGGGGATCAGTGACAATTCATGTGGAATAAAGAGAGACAGAGAGGGGAAGTTCAGAGGCCAATTAATGACATTTCTCTTTTTCTCCCTCCAGAAGAATTCATCTATAGGTTGCTGGATATTTCCACCCAGCCAACCCACCTAGGAATAGGACTTTGAGGTCATTAGATTAAAGAGTCCATATAAAAGAGGTATTTTCCCCCATAGATTTATTGACCAATTCTTTGACAGTCACAACCTTTGGTTGCAAGTAGACCATGGTATTGTCATACAATGCCCTGCCAGTGAGTATAAAAAAGCTACTAGTTGAAAAAAGAAAATCTATTTGACTTCCCATCCCTTGAAAATTTGGCTCTTCTCATTTGTAAAAATAAAAATCAATCAATCAATAAAGTTAAATCAGCATTAAAAAAAACTAGTGGTCTTTAGATGGTCCCCAGCCTTAGATTGCTGGTTTTCTCCAAGGCTAGGCAAATAGTAGAGAAATGAAAATTCATTTCCAACTCATTGATCTTTATAGCAGCCCCATCAACCTCTCAACTAATATGCAGTAAAAGAAATATATTTTTCTATACATTTCTTTGGGACTTTACAGAAAAGAAAAAGCAATATCTGTACCAAAGTTATGCAAACATTGTTTTTAAATGGTACAGGAAACTAAAGAGAATTCTTTTCTGCCTCCATCTGTTCTCCCTTAGAGAAAACATAACATGGCAGATAGGACAGTGGGAGGGAAATAGGGAGACATGGATTATGCTTGAGGTTATACTACCTAATTGCTCAGGGACCTCAGGCAATTCATTTAACCTATTTCTCCCTGTGTCTAGAATAGTTATCACTATCCGCCACTACCCTTCCCATAGCAAGGGAAAAAAATTAATTGGATAAATCATCAACACCTGCCCCAAGTTTCCCCTAGGAAGGTAATGCTAGGTAACTAGAAGACATACTTCTGTGGTGTTTGAGTATTTGTTTCTGAAACCCCTTTTTAAAAATTTGTAGTTTCAGAGATAAAAAGGGTATGACTTTTTATAACCACATTTCCATTTGGTATCCTCTCTGAGTTCTCCAGGTGTATACATGTATAGAGATGGCTTTAAATAGGTCAATGTAATCTTTGTGTAAAGAATTGTAAGACCAAAGAAACCTGGGAGCGTAGCTGGCATTTTCATTCTGTATTGACTATATCCTCAAATATTCACTACAGGAATACTGCAGAAACAACACTGGGAAGCTAGGTTTCAGATGAAATACTGTATGATGAAAATTCCCTTAAAATTTGTTTGGTAAGGACCTTTTATTTCATTGGGCAGCTAGGAGTACCAAGAGTTCAAATCCACCCTCATGCACTTATTAGCTGTGTCATTTAACTCCATTTGCCTCAGTTTCCTCATCTGTAAAATGAGTTGGAAAAGGAAATGATAAACCATTCTAGTATCTTTGCTGAGAAAATTCCAAAAGGGTTCACAAAGAATTGGATACAATTTGAAAAATGACTGAAAAAAATTTTTTCATTGGTGATGAGAATTCTTTAGCATGGAAATTCCCTCCACTGATGTAGACCAGCAACTCATCTGTAACTTACAGTCTTAAAGACTTGCCTTGGGGAATTGAAAGATCAAATAACTTGCCCATGGTCCCATAGCTAGCGTCCATGTAAGAGCAAGACATGAAGGCAAGTCTTCTTGACTCTAAGGCTAGCCCTCTCTCTGCTAGGCATAGGACTTCTGTGAAATTCCCCTTTACCCTTTCAAGAATTGTAATTTCTCTAGAAAGTCTCACTTGGATACTTACAAGTATTGAGGACACCAGCAAAAACCCAGCACTGACCATACTGTACTGGATTCCCAGAACTATGATATTCCAACAGGATATCAACACTCCCAGTCCAGGCAGAAGGAGGAACTCCATAGGCATATAGATTGTCCCAGGATCCAACAATAACGCCTTGATCATCTTTGGCATTGATCTACATGAAGGATAGAAGGGGAAGGAAGGAAGAAAACATATTGATATTAGTATTTTACCAATGGATAAAATATACTGGAAGTATAGGGACAGTAAATGACCTTCAACATACTCCTATCTTCTTATATTCATCCCATATGCTAGTGATCCTTAACCCCTAGAGGCTGATGTACAAACCCCTTTCTTCCACTGTCTTTTCCTGCTTTTGAAATTCAAGCTATTCATACTTATCACCCAACTCAAAGCCTGGTGGCTCTTATCCATATACCCTCACAAGATATTTTCCTTCATAATAGCTAGCATTTGTATAGTCTCTCTCCAGTGTTCTTACATTTAATTAATTATAAACTGAATAAAATAGAGGCAACTAGATGGCACAGTGGATAGAGTGCTGGACCTGGAGTCAGAAAGACCTAAGTTCAAATGTAACCTCAGACAATTACTAGTTGTATGACCTTTAGCAAGTCATTTAACCTCTGTCTACATTAGTTTCCTCATCTATAAAATGAGGACAATAAAAACAATAATAATAATAATAATACCTACTTCCTAGGGTTATAAAGACAAAATGAGAAACTACATGGTGACCCGAATGTGTTAGTGAAGTTTTAAGATTAAACTTCACCAAGACTTTTGGGACACCTTGTATTTGTATATGTTTATAATCCTTACTACCAGGATGTCTGGGGCTAGTGAATCCCTTGATCTCTGGAGTTCTGAGCTGCACTATATAGGGTTAAGCCAATGGGGCACCCATACTAAGTCTGACATCAATATGGGAAGTCACCAGACTGCCTAAGGAGGAGTGAACAAACCCAAGTTGGAAATGGATCAAGTCAAAGTGTCTGTGCTAATCAGTAGTGGAGTTGAACCCATTAGTGGCCGCTGCCTGTCCTGCCTGGGCAAGATAGGGAGATCTAGTCTTAAAACAACAACAAAGGGAGAACTGAATGAATTTACCAAAAAAACAAAAAAGGAAAAAGAAAAGAAAAGAAAAACAAAACAAAACCTCAAAACAAAGACAATATTTTTGTTTTGTGTCTACCTGCAAACATGCTTGAAATTCTATTACCTTGAGGCAGCTAGGTGGCGCAACGGATAGATCACTGGTCCTAGAGTCAGGAGGACCTGAGTTCCAATGTGGCCTCAGACTCATACCACTTACTAGCTGTGTGACCCTGGGCAAGTCACTTAACCCCATTGTCTAGCCAAAAAAAAACCAACAAGAGTGGTTTTGGGGCAGCTAGGTGCCACAGTGAAGAGAGCACCAGCCCTGAAGTCAGGAGAACCTGAGTTCAAATCCAGCGTCAGACCAAACACTTGACACTTACTAGCTGTGTGACCTTGGGCAAGTCACTTAACCCCAATTGCCTTAAAAAAAAATTCTATTATCTTGTGCCTATCTTTCTTTTATTCTTTCTCTTTAAAAAAATAAGTTCATAGAATCATAGGTTTATATAGAGAAACAAATATTATCTAATACAATGTGTATATTAGGTATCTTAGTGGATAGAGAGGTGAACTCTCTGGTCACGGAGAACTAAGTTCAAAATCTACCTCAGACACATACTAGTTTAGTTGGCCCTGAACAAATAATTTACTCTCTCTTAGCCTCAGTTTCCTCACCTGTAAAATAAGGATGATAATAATAGCATCTGTCCCACAGTTTGTGAGAAGCAGAGACATAAATTACTTTACAACTTTAAAACACTCTATAAATGTTAATTATTGTTATTATCATACCATTCCCATAAGTTCCTGTCACCTCAGATAGGCTTCTGATATCCTCATATGCTTCATATTTATTGCTTTTCGTGGCACCATAATATTATATTACATTAATATAGCATCATCTATTTAGCTCTTCTCCAAATGCTGGGCATGTAAGTTTTCTTTTCTTTTTTTTGCCATTGCAAAATAGAGCCATAATAAATATATTTTTTATAGCTACGTCCTTCCCCCCCTTTTTACTATATTTTGGGGTTGGAATCCTAGCAACAGAATTATTGGGTTGAAAATTATGATCAGTTTTGTGACTTTTTGTGCCAGATCAGAACTTAAACATTACCTTTCTTGCTAGTATGGCTGTCTCCAGGCTCATGCATCTCTAGAATCACCCTTTACACAGCTGCTAGAATAATCTTCCTAATACACGGGCCTGACCATTTTACTCCTCTATTCAAGAACCCTCAAAAGCTCATTTGTGAGTACAGCGTAAAACACAAGCAGCTCATCCTCGCACTTAATGTCCTCCAAAATATGGCGCCAGCCAGCCCACCCAGCTAGACTAATTTCCCATTTCTTCACTGTGCAAACTTTACCTCCCAGCTGAACTGGATGACGACTTTTCTTTACTGTTACTGTGCATCCTCCTTCCTCCATGCATTCATTCATTTCGGCTATGCTCCGTGCTCAGCACATATTCTTTCCTCACCTTCACCTGTCCACAGCCTTTTCTCTTCTTGCAAAGTTAAATCCAGGTACCACCTCCTCTGCTTACCTTATCTCTCTACTTTAGAGAGCTCCCACGTGCCTCAAATTTTCTTAGATCACTTACAATGGACCTACCCTTTGCTCTTATTACATTCTCGCCTTGTCTCATACGTAGCTGTCTATATACTATATCTTCCCTATTAGGCTATAGGTTCTTTGTAGGAAGAGACAGTTATTTTTCATCGTGTAGAAGATTCAGGTCTTCCTGACCCTAGGCCCAGCACTCTATCCACTGCGCCACCTAACTGCCCCCAATTAACTATGAGCAGATCACCTAGCTAGGTGGCTCAGTGGATAAGGTGTCAGGTCTGGTGACAAAAAGACTCATTTTCCTGAGTTCAAATCTGGCCTCCAACACTTACTAGCTGTGTGACCCTGGGCAAGTCACTTAACCCTGTTGTCTCAGTTTCCTCATCTATAAAATGAGGTGGTGGAGGAAATGGCAAACCATTCTAGTGTCTTTGCCAAGAAAACCCCAAATAGAATCACAAACAGTCGCACACAACTAAATAACAACAAATCACCTAACCTCTCTGAGCAAATTCCTTTTATGTTGGGAATACTTACGCTTATATTACACACACACACACACACACACACACACATACACACATACACACACGTATATATAGATATATACACACACAAACTTTTGAGAAATACTGTGTAAAAAGCTATTATTTTTTTCATGTGAGTGATTGTGTAATTCTCAAAATAATGTTAGAATCACTGGTTTACAATAAATTCATGACTTTGAGATGGAAATAAAAACAACTAAAACATAGCCTTTAATCAAAAATAGCACTTAGTCAAATGAAGATTAAGAGATTTCAATGACTAAGAGATTTTAGGAACTGTGTCAATGACCATATATAACAGAAATATTTTGGTATAGGAGCTTCATGACAAAATGTCAACATTTTGCCCAAAATAAATAATTTCTTTTGGACAAATCCTGGTTTCAGATTATTGGTAAAGTAAAAGTCTATGGACCGAATGGATTCCTACTAAAGTTGCCCAGAGTTGGCAATGAAATGCTCATGGCATATTTCCTGTTTATTTTTGCCAAGAAAGAATACTTTTTTAATTGGTTAAAAAGCTAGCCATTCTTCTTACTCTCTTTTCTCCCTTGTTAGAAATGGGATCATGTATGTAAAGGCATTTCCTAAGCAGCAAAAATTCTATATATAGTTTAAAGGATTACTGGTGTTGTATCTTTAGATGGTGGTAAATCCTTAAAACCTAAATATTAATGTTAACTATTTAAATGATTATCGGATGGAATTTCAATCAAATGTCACTTATATTTGTCATTTGAATCATAAAGTTTTGGAGCTAGAAGGAACCTTTAAAAAAAAACTGGTGATCTGGTTTAACTATTTAAGATATAAAATTCTAGCCTATTCCTACTCAATTTCATTAATGTAATTTTCAGTTGCAAGTCTATTTTGATAACTATAAATTGGACCAATCAAATATTTATTGGGTGCCAACTACACCTAAAACCCTTTGAGTGACACAAATAATTATAAAGTAAGGCCATTGCCTTCAAAGATCTTGCAATCCAGTAAAGAGGTAAGGTGATAAATGAGAACAGCTAAATGAAGAGTAGAGACTGTAAGGGTCACTGGAGGTCAGTGGCCTTGGAGATACTGGGTAATCAAGGAAAGCTTCAAAGAGAAAATAGGATTTGAGTTGGACCTTGAAGGATAGGAAGGATTTAGATTGGGTCAAAGAGGCAGGGAATAGGTAAATATATGTTGTTTGTTTTTTTTTGTGGTGGTGGTGCATTCTATAAATTAGGTGAATGGTATATAAAAAGGTGCAGGAAAGTATGTAGAACATTTGGAACATAATGAGTAGGTTCATTTGGTTGGAATAGAGCAGGAAATCAAATATGTTGAAATAAGAATTTTTTTTTCTCATCCAAGCTTATGGACCCTTTGAAATCTCTCCATAGACCTTCAAGGTGGCTGTGGACTCCAGGCTAAGAACCCCTATAATAGAGAGTTTATCAAAAGTGCTAGTGAGAAAAAGGCTAGAAATCAATCAATCAACAGACATTTATTCAGCTCCTACTATGTGATAGGCCAGGAGACAAAAAGTCAAAATTGAAATAACTGTTGCCTTTGGAGAGCAAAAGATAGATTGGTTCCATTATAAGGTCTTGGAAATATTTAAAGTAAAACTAATCCTTTGTTTTTGGAGGGGGAGAGAGAGGGAGTTAGTATAATGTGACTTCCAACATTACCTGAGTAATCTCACAGGTTCCAAACATTAGTGCCCCTTTCAAATGAGGCTATGGCATCAGGTCAAAGAGGAGCTTTGTCTGATATTCTATGGTCCTCAGTACAAACAGCCTAAATCACACATGAAGAATTTTTCTCCTTATTCAGCCTTAGGGACATACTTTTTAAGTCTCTTTCATCTGTGACTGGCACTGGGCAATAGTTCTAATGCTAATTTCTCCTTTCTTTTGTCTTCATTGCTTTCATCCTTCCTAAAGTG